TAAATCGGCCACTCACCAGTAATTTACAGTCGCCTGATGAGACACATTGATATTCATTGAAACACAACTGCAATTGTGTAGCGATTTTGACATATTTTTGTGCAATATCCTAAAATAAATAATATTGCTCTACTTTGTATTGAGCTCTCTTTTAAATCAAATCTTAAGAACGTTGTAATTTTACTCTATTCGTTTTCATTATATATATATATATATATATATATATATATATATATATATATATATACTTCATTCATTATTATAGTGAATAAATCCGTATACACGCCCCATTTTTATTTATTAAACTGGCTGTATTACGTTTATCGCTCTGCGCATTCGAGAAATCTTGGTAAAGAAAATGCAATCCCCAACTAAAATTTTAACAATTTAAAATCGATTTTTAACCAATATAAAAATCAGCTTTAACATGTCCCGGCATTAAATAACCCATGAAAAGTTGATATATTGTAAGAAAAACAAAAAAAAAACACCAGCAAACGGCACTCACAAATAAATGCTATTCACCATTTTACGTGCATCATGACTAAAAGTACTTTTTCTTTAATTCGCCGACTGCTTTATTTCCATTTTTTTAATATTGGCAATTGTTCAAAATTCTATGACGCCAATTTCTGAAAGACTTTTTCAAAACATTTCGTGCTACCAGGTCCAAAGCTTTTCTTTCTTTATTTTGAATAGGTAAAGTTTTTTTAGTTGGTCCACCAGTTTATTTTTGCTGTCTGAAAACGCAGGAGTATTTGCCGTGTAGAATACAAAACAGACGACAGTATCAATTTACTGTCTGCTTTTGTCGTTCTTTTCGATTGTGATTGACATTACTTTGAATATATCGTATTTCCTAGCCCCAGGATGATATCATACGCTTAATACATGGTCGAAATATTCAGACGTATTAATATCGGTTGCATTTTTTTTTTAGCCTTCAAGTAAAAACTAACAGAAAACAAACATCCCCCTTGTGTATTCCCGAGTATTTTGTAAATCGCGCTATCTAAATGATAGCGATTGTACAGTTTTTAAAATCTTTGCAAAGCTCTCCATGACTGGGGATGGTAGCTCATTGGCTTCTTTTATTTATACCCCCACTTATTTTGGATTAATCCACCTCCCCTCCCCTGTTAGGTGACCAGAGATGTTAATTCTCTGGTGGATGCGGGACGCTTTTCGTATTTTAGGTGTGCTTTGATTTGTTTGTTTTTGAGTGAGTCGTTAGACGAACGAGTCTTTTAAAATTAAGTTCCGCATTAATTTCGTTCATTTTCGTTAACTGATGTTTCTATCACAATCAACGATTGGGGGTGGGTATTACTAACACTATTTTATTTAGTTTCTTGTCGATAGGTTACCACATATTGTAAATATATATTGGAGTTAGATTTTTGAATTGTTGTTTTATTCCCCACTCTCCACATACAAAATTGTTTATATGGGAATTGGTTAGGACTTCATAGAGATTCTGAAGTATTATGGTGTATGTCATACGAATGGTAAGTAAAAATGTGTTCTTTTCTGTAAAGAATGTCGTGTTATGTTTGGGTTGGTGATTGTGGCTATCTAAGTTTAATTATAAAACGGAAGAAGACCAGAAATCCCTCGACACCCTTTTGGCCTTGTGCAACTGTTTTGGCTTTTATAGAAAAAAACTTTCGTTCTATATGATCCAGTAAAAACGGATATCATTTAATTTTTTTCTCATTTTATATTAATATATTTTTCAAGATGAATGTCTTTTTTAAATGAAAACTGACAGGACAATGAAGTCTTCTCTATAAGACAGTGGCCCCTAGCAGCCTAAATATTTTCTATTTCTATTCCACTTCGTGCTCTACTGGAATAGCGAGGAGTTCTGACAAAACTCTTTGATTGCAAAAACTAGATTCATTGATATTTTCGTTAACATTTTCTCCCTTTGTGCAATTTTATTTTGGAAGAGTCTAGCTTTAAAGGTATTAATGTATGGCTTTCTTCTTTCGCAATTTTCTTTGTGACCGCATTGAACAAAGAAAATCTATATATTTAAAATATTATTGGTTACTAAGACTTGTTTTATGGCCATTTTTTGTTTTTAATTCTTCACTTCTCCAGTTTTATAGGTGGCTTATCACAACTGCAATTTCCTAATGTGTGATATGGCCATAAAGACTAGATGTACACATCTTTATTTTTTAAAGGTTTCCATCTTCAGTTTTATCTGTGGTCTACTGGGACAGTGATATCCAACTTTCCTACGAGTATTTTTTTTATTGTTGCGAAGACAAGATTTACAGATATTTCTTTTTTACTGCTATCATTTCTCTCAATATGATCTGTGTTCTATTTGAACAACTTCAGTAAATTTATCTTAAAAGTCTTTTTCGGTCCACATATATATATATATATATATATATATATATATATATATATATATATATATATATATACACATTGTGAGACCGGAACTACCTACACAATAGACTCTTCCAGGCCTATATTAAGTATGCGACAGAACACTCTAGTCAGAGAGATAGAGAGACAGTGAGAGCTGCGTACGACTACCAGTATTGGACACTAACATATAGTAAGCTCCGCTTACACTATCTCTGTAACCTGTTGTTAATATATCTTTCTTACATCTAATCCGTGTTCCGTGTTTTCCTTCTGTGGTCCCAACTTTGGCCCCATATCAATATATTTTTTTTATTTTTCCAGATTTTATTTTGTGATCACGTGGAACGGCTTATCTTACTGTCTGAAGAACCTTACTGGACATAATGATAAGTTTTCTAGGTATACACTTTGAACGGTTTTCATCTTTAGTCTTTTTTGAGATCCACACGATCAGTCACAACAAATGCTTTCTGTTAAATATTGTTTATCGTAATAACTAGTTTTCAAAATCTGCTTTGGATTCATCAGTTCTATATGTCGGTGAACGCTGGACAATATCCTTAGGGAAACAGAAGCGTCTTCAATGAACAGAAACGTGGTTCTGCAAAAAGATGTTGAGCATTCCAGGGAGTTAACCTCTGAACAACGAGGAGTTTTAAAGAAAATGTAAACAAAAAGGACATTTAGCCCTTTGAACCCTGTGTGCCTGAAAACTTTTAACCCTTTTACTTGAGCTTCTGAGTCAAACTTCGCAAATAATTGGTATGCAATGTTTCACGGTAGATATAAAAATAGTTTACAAGTGTTTACCTCCCGTTTAACCGGTGGTTGGGCATTACTTCATTTTTCTATACCACCGGTAAAGCGGTGGTCAGGGCTCAAAGTGTTAATACTTAACATTAGAAAAAAAAAAACACTTGACATTTCAAAGGCACATAAGGAGGATAGAGGGCTTAGAAAATCAAACACTGACTGGACATATTGAAGGCAAGAGGGGCATAGGAAAAAGTGCATAACTCTAATCCTAACGTGCTAGACTAAATGGTTAACAGAACAGGGTTTAAGAGAGATAGCCAATATGCAAAATTTATTAAGAGCTCCAAAGGACAGCAAATTTTGAAATGCCATCTTTCTGAAGGGGCACGACTCATAGAAGAGGAAGAAGATTAATTTGAATTTCAAAATCCGAAAGAAGTTTAAGTCTTCTGTTCCGACTTATGGATAGTCTTCTTTCTTATATGGGAAATTTCACTCCTGGACACGTGTAACCAGAAACAGGTTCGTTCGCAGGAAGCAGCTTCTTTTAGTCTGCGAACGAAACATCCTCTTTGGTTTAGGTTGTTAGAGACCACTGTCTTATAGAGACAAGTCTTCTTTGTCCTGTCAGCTTTCGTCTAAAAATGTCATTCATCATGAAACCAGGGTTCTTAGACCGCTCCACTCAGCTGACCTACATTTTCACATCGGTGGACTCAGTTCTTCGGAGGTCCACTCATCTCAGCTGACCTTTGTTTTCAAAACGATAATTGTGACAAGGAATTCTGTAATATCGTGCGGTTATGTCTTTAACAAGATATCAGCTGGCAGCTGATATTACTACACGTAGGCAATCTTGCTCAGCAATCCATTTATACGAGATCCTTAAGTTGTAACTCTTTGTCCCCTACGTTTTGTTTAGTTATATCCTGTGAATATTAAATTCTCTAGATCCCTTTCCTCATTATGTGTCCCAGATATTTCAGCTGTCTCATTCTGATTGTAAGTATACATTTCCTTGTGGTTCAATTTTCTTAATACTTTTCTCTTGTCTCACATTTCTTTTCCCGTGTATTCTTAGCTTTCACCTCATGCCTAGAACTATATCTCTCGTTTTTATTCTCATTTTCATCTGTGGTAGGGTTATCATAATTTTAATAGCATATAGGTGTTTAACAGTTTAGTTTTCATTTCTCAGTTTCTAGGAACGTTTTCCTGTCTCTTATTACATTGCTTAGTTTATAAAAAGCCTCTTTCTCTATTCCATTGTGCCTTCAGCTTTCAGTATCATATTTTCCATTGTCTTTTATTACAATCCCCCTGTAGTTATATTAATCTACTTTTTACATCTTCTTAGAGTGAAGAGCTCTTCTGGATTTGTATTTTTTTTTCTGGGTCTACCTCCATCCTCTTATTTCTTGTGATTGTCTAAGCGTAGCTTAGATGTGTTACAATGCCGAATGTATGGGGCACCCAGTGAGGATGTAATTCACTACTGTTGTAATTGGTCTAGAGAGACAAGCTTGCTAACTATTAGACCACGATATAGTGCCAAATCTATATATCATGTTGCTAATATTATCTCTGATTGGTTGATTCGTTTATTACGGTTTATCAACCCATTGTAGCTTACTTAAAGTCAGAACATATTTTTACAGACTAATAATAATTTTATATATAATAATGATTTAGGTATACAAGTTTTACTAATTAACCCATAGCTGGGGGTAGAATAGGTGGATTCATATCTATCCCAAAGATATTTGTTGGTAAGCGAATCCAACTGAAATTTGAACTCGGCTCTCCATTTTCCAATTCTAAGCCATTATCAGTTACATCTGCTACGCATTCAAATTTACAGCGTATGGTATTCTGAAGGGCTTACCCATCCAGGTACTGACCTGGCTCGACGTTGTTTAACTGCAGTGTTCATGTGGGATCCGGTGTTTCAACGTGATATAGCCGTAAACAACATTATTTCTGATATTATTATAGATTATATTTTCTTTATAAATTATTTTAATCGCTGAGAACAAGTTCACTCGGATCTCGAGCAACTTTCTTAGTATCCTTCCATATAATTGTAATGTCGGGCTTTGAACAGCCTCAATTCTAACTTGGATTTCCCAGTTTCAGTTTTAGTTGGTATTTGTTTTTTTTTTTTTTTTTTTCTTTTTTCTTTTTTTGGTGGGGGGAGGCACATATCTAGGTGTACGTGTTAATATGGTTACGATTCTAACATCAAGTTTCAGATATTTCTCAGATCCTGAGAAAAGTTCTGGTATCTCGCCAATTTTTCACTTTGTCCGTGTCGACAGCCACATTTAGGAGAGACGATCTGTGTGTCGAATTCCGAGAGTAATTTGGTAATTTTTTTTTTATTTTCCATTCCAGTCTCTACTCTGTACTGATGCCATTTGGCTAACTGGTCGAAATCAATTCGTTAGTATACTTGCCTTGTCATGCCAATTTTGGGATTTTTTGGAGCCAGTTTGCTATAGTCACTTATTATTTAACCCTTTCATTTCCTTCTCAGCAAAGTCAAAAACTACTGCGTTTGTGTGTGTGTGTGTGTGTGTGTGTGTGTGTGTGGAGGGGGCGTTGTATTAATCTTCGCTTTGATATTCTTATTGGTAGCTAGCAGACACACTCATAATCGAAGAAAAAGTTGAAATCATCTTCATAATTGCAATGTCGCACGAAATGAAGTAGCAACAGCAGAACTTAGGTCGTCTTTTTCGCCTTCTTGGTATTACGTTCTCCACTGACCTAAAGTGAAACAACTACTTTAAATCAATAGCTGCATCTAAATTTGGTTCTCTGTGCCGCGCTAGAAGTTTTTTTTCTCATTTGAGTCCACTCTTCACATCAACAAATCTACCATTCGTCCATGCATGAAATGCTGTTGCCATATATGGACCTATGCCCTCGCAGTTCGTGATTCTAGACAAAATCCAAAGACGGATATGCAATGTGATCGGACTTGACTTGGGGTTTCGACTCCAGTCACTTTCTCACCGATGTAATAAGGATTCTCCCTGTCTTTTCAATCAATATTTTCATGGAACCTGATCTGACCAGCTATTTTCATAAAATGTAATGTCAAACGACGTCTTCTGTTGTCTTGATCCCCATTGTTCTTTTATCCTTGCCTCACTCCCTAAACCCAGTCTTGTCATTTATTTATACTCTCTGTAGCCCCTTGCTTACTAGTGGTACTCCCGCCTTGCTTGGGATAAAATACTCTTTCTTTACGGCGGTGATCTTGTCATTTTTAGAAAATAAAAAATGATATTAAACTATATCAAAATAAAGATAGGTAATAGTTATGTTGAAACTTGACTAATGCATGGAATAATAATGCAACACAAAATGTACTTAGAACAAAATGTATTGAAACAAGAAAGTGTACACAATATTTACATATAGTCTTTTGTATATTCCTGGTAAGACCGTTCCTGGAGAATGTGTTGACTGAGTCGCAGTCGGGCAGAGTTTCTGGTTGAATCTCTTGATTCCTTCCTCTCTTCCCGGTACCAACCATATTTATATGGTCGGTACTCCACTATGCAAATTAGGTGGATCCTACCACAACAATTTACTAATTTTATATGACATATCAGGCTAAGTTAAAAGTTTTTTCGAATATTCATTGATTTTTTTAGCATTTTGTATCTACATGTCATATCATTAATTTGATAGAACTTGTTGTCCAACCGTTACTGAACTGTTTATTCTTTATTTTCATATATAACGCATAAATATTAATTGTTTATATAAAGATACGAATCTGAGTTGTCAAAATTAAGCCCGTACAGAAATTTAAATATCGATGAAGTGTTATAATAGGCGACGGAATCTGTAACACCGAAATCCAAAGACCTGGTGAAATAGCGAAAGATGCTTTTCAAAAGCTAGGCAAAGTATTAATAAACAGGAAAAAAGAAAAACTGATGAACTGTAATGTAATATCAGTCATATAATAAAATAATTTCCATTGTATCGCGAGTAAAAGTCGACTTGGTCTAGAATCATATGGTAATATAATATATGGAAACATTCAGCATTCATTGACCCAGTAGCTAGTACTATCGAGTTATGCTTTTCTTCACACTCTGGAAAACGAACCGAAACTAAACAAGAAGATTTATAATTATAATCAGAACGAGACCATTGAAATTCCCAGGACTCATACCGAGAAAAAGGAGCTCGGAGAATTTAAAACTCACAGGATATACTGGAGGAAGTAAAAGCAAGTAGAACGACGCGTAACGTCTTAACGAGTTGATGTCAGAACAGAAACAGAGAAGGGTGGTAATGGTAATATTATAAGGAAACATTCGCTCTTCTTTGACTGAGCAGCCAGTGTTACAGTTTTTCAGGGAAATTAGTTTCATTCACTGTCATCGCTCTTTTCAGTACTGACCGGATACTATTAGTTAATTCTTTGTTTGTGGAATGTCGACATCTTGATTCCGTCATTATTTCCTCTTTGAGTTCCATGGGTTCTGTATTTTGATTGTTGCTGAAAGACCTCAGGTGATATGGTTTCTGTTATTTAGTACAGTTCTTATGTTTAGGATTCTGTAGCAACAATCCTAAACATGTCAGTATACTAATCTTTAATAGAGACATTGGGATGTCCTTCCGTTGGATGAAAATAACCGCTCCTGTATACATATGTAACTTTCACAATTGCAAGAAAATAAAAATAATATTTTTTTTATAACTACAGTTAATTAATCATTCTTTTCTTCAAGATAGATTTGTATTAGAGACAAGTCTTCATTTTATCGATAATTTTCCAACATTTACTTCCTCATAAAATCATTGATAGGATAATGTCGGGTCGCTCTTTTTCTTCATCAGATCATTATTTCAAGTTATTTTCGTTCAAATTTCAGGAAGATCATAATTAAATTAAATTTATACAAGGTTTTATCACCTAATATTGAGTGATCTTTCTACTAACGACTACGATTAAACATCCACCTTTGAATTTAATTAGCCAGTAAGCAAACTCTCATATGCAAATATGTAATGTTTATTATTGCAAACGAAAAGAAAAAAAGAAAGGTAATTTTAAGAATCCAGTTAATTAATCATTATTTTTCTTTCCAGATAGATTTGTATGAGAATTAAATCAGTTTCTTTGAAACATTTTAAAATGATTTCTGTCAAATATCGCGTCGCAACAAATAATTTGCTGACAGAAATGTAAACAAAATTTTAAAAAATGTTAAAGACGTTTTAAATAAAAAATATATTTCGATTATTTTTTTAACGATTGCATCTACGTTATTTTCGATGAATTTAAAGCAAAACATTTTAACATCATGAAATGCTATTTTCTTTTCTTAAGTAGATGAAGGTAACTTCTTAAATTTAACGTTTTCTTTTTTTGTTCTTTTTGCGCTAAAAGGGATTATTTAAAATGTCACTTTCCTAAAATGTTTTCTATAGTTGTTTATTTTTCAAATGAACGAATTAAAGTAACCCATAACATTTCGAAAAAGATGGTTCCTTCAAAAAAACTCTGCTTTTATCCCAGCTAACGTCGTCATCAAGAGGAAAAGCCCAAGATGTGGACTACGAATTGAAAATACCAAACTCAAAGCGAGCACGAAAATTTAAATAGGTGGGAGGTGTTTCAAATGAGGACCCGAAAATGTAACATCGAAATCTGAAGGCGTAGGAAGGAATGACGAACATTGTCTTCTAAAAGTTAAGCAAAGAAATCTTATAATGCTCGACAATATCCTGAAAGATATAGAATACAACAGGTATTTTTTACAAATGGACGCCGAAGATACTATGGCGAGAAATTGTGAGTAACGAGGAAGTTATACGCAAAACGAAATTGAAAAAGAACACCAATACTTGGATTTAGAAAGAGACAGCACAAATACCAAGGAAAGAGGGCCTGACACGCATATGGAACATTCAAGACGAAAGGGACAGCGGAAAATTGAGAGTAACTTGCTTAACGAACATGTAAACAGATAGCAGTACAAGGACTGGGAATGATGGCGAAAAACTAAAATTAAGAGCTACAAAGGAGAGGAATTTTTGACATGATAGCCAAAATCCTGAAAAGAAGGTACATAGAAGAAAATGAAGTGGACGATGGGGCAAAAGAAGCCGTAGAAGTGAGTCTCAATACTTTCCCGTGCAAAAAGAATCACTTAACAAAAACAGTATCATGTAAGATTTATCTCCCTTTTAAATGTGTTGTTTGGAGAGTATATTTGTGGATATTATTATCATAATTGGGCATTTCAACTTTGTGTAATGATTAGCAATCTTGTCTCGCTGGATCACATACAACTGATTAATGAGTTCGATACTCACTTTCAGCTTTGTGCTACATCTAATCTACGCTTAGAAAATCGTTTAGGCATCTCAACGTGGTGTAATGGCCAGTAATCTTGTCTCGTTGGATCAATTACAACTGAGTAGCGAGTTCTATCCTCACTGGGTGCTAAAAAATCCGACCTTGTCCTACATCTAAGCTACACTTAGAAAGTAAGCTTGGGAATCTCGATGTGATGTGATGGTCAGCTAGCTTGTCTCGCTCAAACAATTTACGACTGAGGATTGAGATCAATCCTCACTGGGTGTCCCATAACTCCAGCCTCATGTCACATCTAAGATACGCTTAGAAAATTCCCATATTATTATCATAATTCGTTTTGTATGTTTCATCAAATGAATAAATCCCTCTATGTATAATATCAATTAAAATATAAAAATATAAGCTAAAATTATGAGGTAGATGACATTATATTTAATGTGAATTATAGTATATATATATATATATATATATATATATATATATATATATATATATAAAGGGTGTTTCATTAATACAGATTCTATACAAGGGTGTTTCATTAAGACGGATCAAAGTTAACAGTAAATAAATCAGTGTTATTGGTGAAAGTTTATTTATTTATCGCCAAAATGGC